GTGGTGGTCCAGAGACCGTGGTGGGTCGTACCTAGAGTCAGCCAGAGCTCAGAGTGTCTGTGGAAGATGCTACAGTTCAATCAAACAGGTTTTATTTAGGTTTTATTTACCTGTAAACATTTATTTACACAACATATCCGTTCCTCCTCCGTCTGTGGCACAAATAAAAACCTCCCGTTTCAGATCCTGAAGCTGGATCAGGTATTTGGAACAGAGGCTGATATTTGGCAGCTCTCTGATCGATGCTAAATGGATTCATATGGATCCTTTCAGATTAAATGGTAAAGGTTTATAAAGCAGACCTCACTCACTTGCTTTTAGTGTATTTAAAACCCACACATGTTGGCCCCAAACATTAATTACCAGCAGACAAGAGGAGCTTTCAGCCTGTAAGTCCCGCTCTGCTGCGCCGCCGCTGCCAGAGTCAAAATGGACACAAACTCATTAGTGCGTTTTAGAGGTTTCGGGTTTATTAGGCTTAGAGAAAGTTTCCTGCAGAGCTCGGCCAAATGCCTTCGTTATCGCATTTAACCGCTAAGCTAAATCACACAGGCTGAGTGCTGTTTTGGCTCCTTTGTTAGCCTCAGAGCTAACGGGTTAGTTATACAGACTGGGATTGTCATTAAGAGCTTAATGACAGCTCAAATGTAGGCACAGGTCCAGGGTCAGTTAGAAAGATAAAGTAAATTAAATGTGCTTGTAAAACACTCATCAGGACTTATTGCCTGTCTTTAATCGGACACACACAGAGGTCGTTGTTTCAACTTTATCTTCATCGTGTTTCCTGCAGAAGCTCCGACACTGGCCCACGAGACCTTCAGAGCCATCAAACCTGGACTGTCTGCGTACGCTGATGATCCAGAGAAGGTGCTGCGTCATCATTCTTCTGTAATCCACCTGCTGAGGAACATCTGATATTATTCATTATTATTATTAATTATTACAACACAGGACTGACCTCATTGAGCTGTTACTCTGTTTATCACACTGATTCTCTCATAGGTCTCATTGTGTGTCTCCTCCCGTGCGTTCAGTGTATAGCCGGTATCGTGGAACTTCTGGAGGTGGCGAAGTCCAGCGTCCCCCCCTCCATGTGGACCGTCACCCCCGTGGTCCTGAAAGCTACAGCCGGCCTGCGCCTGCTGCCGGGGGAGAAAGCCAAACACCTGCTGGACAAGGTGAGAGAGAGAGAGGTCAAAATATAACACACACAGATGTTCATATTATTATTATTATTATTATTATTATTATTATTATTATTATTATTATCTGTATATTGTCCAGTGACACGGACAGTAATAGTAAATAACAATAAATACATTTACATTGAAACCACAAAAAAAACACTTTGTTACAACATGTTAAAGATCAAACTGTTTATTAATCAATGAATCAATGAATCAATCAATCAATCAGTCTGCATTATGGCAGTGAGTTGCTAATGCCTCATCATCATCATCATCTTCATCATCTTCATGGTCTATAAAGCTCTTCAGTAATTAATAATAACAGGACTCAAACACAGAGCTGATGACACTAAATATTATTAAAATATAGGATTCAATTATTCAATTATTATTATAATATAATACATTTTATATATTCTAATACACGTGTCACATTAGTTTTACCACCCTGTGCTTCCCTTTGTGTCCAGGTGAGGGCGCTGTTTCTGGAGTCTCCCTTTCTGTCCGGAGACGACAGCGTGTCCATCATGGACGGCACTGATGAAGGTAGGAAGTCTTCGGAGCAGCACCGATAACAAACGTAGTGAACGTTTGAGCTGGAAGGTGACAAAGATCTTTAGAGTTCAGTCACAATTCAAAATGGGCAACTTCCTGTCGGGATATGGCTCCAAGAGCTTTTATTGTGATTAATTAGTGTTTGTAAGTTGCTCAGCATTAATGTATAAAAGCAGCTGAATGGTCCTTTAATGGCGCCCTGTGGTTGCTGACCTCTCATCAGGTCTCTTCATCAGTTTATTAGATTACAGAGAATCTGTCGTCTCCTCATCCTTTCATTTGTTTAATCTGTGGAGCAGCTCAGATGTTTCTCCTTGTTTATCAGCGCACAGAGAAACCTCAGAGGTCCCGCTCTGATTTCCCCAAGGCACACCGCCAATATGGAGGATTAAACAATATGGAGGATTAAACAATATGGAGGATTAGAAATGAGATGAAACGAGAGACAAACGTTCTCGTGTAGCAGCGACAAACACTGGTGGAGAAACACTGGTGGACAAA